GGAAAACATTGGCATTCTCTTTTTAGTACTGACTTCTGCCAAAAATAGACTTTCGAGCACAAGACAGCACGGCCCTGTTTTAGGAAATACTTATTTTCTCTTTTTTTCTAAAATGCATTGTATGTGTACTTCCAGTGCAAATTTTTTCAGCACTTGCGACAGGCGAGAAGGAAAAGGGGAAGAAGAGACAACTCCCTCTGCTCTTGCTCGGAGGAACCAATAGCCATAGCTCCTGACTGCTGAAACCAGCTCCCATCGCTGGCAGCTGGAAAGAGCTTATTAAAGATTTCGGTTTTAAAATAAACAGATTACAGGTTAGCATGAAATCTGGCCGTGGCTATGGTTCTATGTGCATAAAGACTGGTTAGAGATGCTTTCCCCTTTCAGTATTGGTTGGAGTTCATTAAAAACAAGTCTGTGGTGTTTCTCCACGTGTGTCATGAAATGTGAGAGATCTGTCTGACTCGGGTCTGTATTTCCTGTCGACACAAAGGGCAGGTCTCCAGTTGCAAGGCACACTCCATGCACAGGTCACTGAAGGAGAAGAAAAACCAGTTAATGCCTGCTTTTACAGTACGAAAAACTAATCATCAACAACAAAATAATACAAGCACTAAGCAGTTTAGTCAGCCTGCCAGAGGCACATTCAATTTAAGTCACTCAGTGTGGAGATTATGCATTGCAAGTCAGGTGTTGTGGATCCTTTTACAGACTTTGAGAGGAGGTCCTGCTGCTCAGCATCTTCCAGCTGCTCCTGCAGTTGGTTGGGATCCCACTTCCCTGTGCTCATTAATCCTAGCACTCACTCTGGTCTGGAGAGCAGCAGCCCCAGTGCCCTGCAGCAACTTCTCCACTTCTTGTTGGCACACACCAGGCACAAACTCTTTTTAACTTTCCAGCATCTAGACACATGGCAAGACTCCTTCCATGAGTGCTCTAAAACTCTAAAGAATTTTACTTAACTGGATTCATTTCCTAGGAGGCTGCTTAAAGGCAGGAAAGTGCTAGTATGGTGTAACTCATACTGCTGTTTCATTTTTAGCTTTTAGAGGAATTTGTGACTTAACACAATCCATTTGTTGAACATTTAATGAGTATATTATGAATTTTCTGCTCTCCTCATGTGATCCCACATGCACCAGTTTAAAGTACTAATCAGTAATGCCTTTGACATCAGGGAAATAAGAATCAGTAGCCCAGGGCACCACACAGGTGTAGCCTCTGTACTTCCCCAAATACACACACAATTAAGGGTTCAATCTGCTCAGGTCTAGGCTGAGTGGAATAGTGGGAATACTTTGTTTAACCTCTACACATCACATCCTTAAAAGGAAGGAAGGTTATTTCCTTATCCTGGGGAGTCGAGATGAGCAGGGATTGCGTGTGGCCTCATCTAAGCAGTACATCACATACACATTTTCCTATTTCTTTTGATTTGGGTTTTTTTAAGGTTTTACCTGTGTCCACACGGCCTGAGTTCTGTGTCTGCTACCTCATCACAGCAAAGTGTGCAGCAGTTCTCTCTGATACTCACTTGCTTCAGCAAAGCCAGGCGTCTGTGTCTGAAGGGAGACAGAGACAGACCCCCCAAACATTAGATTGGCTCAAAGCAATAAATTAAAAACTATTCTGAGGATTGCATCAAGGCCAACATAACACTTGTAGCAGTGCTACACCACACTGCTGATAAACATAGATCACAACTGCACACAAAAAAAGGCTTAAGACACCCAGAGACCTGCAAATCAGTCTGATTCCCTGTTCTGGTCTGTCAGAAAGGGACAAAGAGGGGATTAAATAACAATTCTCCTAGTTCTCCTAGTTCCCACAGCTAAACACTTAAAGAAATTGTTCTTTTGTACCTAGGTACTTTCAGGAGCTAAGGAAAAAAAAAAACCCAAAGAAATAAACCTCACAAACCCTCACAAACAGAAACCCTATAATGCTCTAACACAGTTTCAAAGAATAAAAACTGAGGATTAAATCAACATCCCAGTATGGTGACAGCCACAAGAGAGAAAATAGGTAAAAATCCCTCATTTGATGAAATAAGACATTTCCCACCTGGAACACACACAACACCCATCACAACTATTCAATGGCAGGGTGATGTGTCTTGCCCCAACACCAGATGCACTGAATTTGCACAACTCTTCATGAGTTTATGTTAAATTCTGTGATGGATAATTAGGGTCTAATCATACACATCTTTGCCTTATCTCCTATCCCTTTAAGATGATCAAAGCTATCTTTTCATTTAGGATTGGCTTATCATTTCCAAGCAGTTCAGGCTGTAGGGCAGGGATGATCTTTGTTTACACAAAGA